GCTTTTCCGCTTCAACCGTCATTTACGGCCAAACAAATCCCAAGAAGAAGCGATTTGAAGTCATTTAGTGTGCAAAATCCATTTAAAATCGCAACTATAGGAAAACTTTTTGGTTTTAGGAGACTTCAATTTCTATCAACTAAAAATATTAGTAGAAAAAACAATACATCTCGGACTAATCAATATTCAGCTTCATTCCTAATTAACAAGCAGGGTGTCCGGAAATAGTACTGATTTTTTAAGGGCGGTCCGGAAGTACTGAAGAAGTGCAGAAATTTCGCAAGAAGGTCCGGAATATTTTTCATGTTTTGTAATTTTTGTCGCACTTTGAGCGAGAAATTCAAATTGTTGAAATTTTTCGAATTTCGTCAAATGGCGGCACTGAAAGAGTACTGAATTTTCCCGTAGAGGAAGTACCAAATGTCTTCGGAATGTACTGAAAAAGTACTGATTTTTGGCCAGCCTGTCTTAGAAGACACCCTGTAGTCGAAAAGACAATATATCTTGGATTAATTAATATTCAGATTCTTTCCTGATCAACAAGCCTGTTTCGGCGCCTACGAATAAAAGATGCTGTAGGCGAAACGTAATGCACGAAAAATTTGTAGGTAGAGCCTTGATTTCTTCTGTCGCGACATGGACCTTGCTCTATCCGGCGTTTTGAAGTGAGTGCAAGCTAGTGGAAGAGAATTTCGCTGTCGCCACACAAAAACAAAAGAAAAAATATGGTTCAGTAAAAAAGTAAATGTTTGGTTCCTGGAAACTTCTAGATCCATGCAGGATTCCCAACAAGAGGGCTATAATTTAAACCTTGGTCACTGACCCGTCTAAAAGGGAAAACCTTAAAAATATATTTTGAATTTGAAAGAATACGGAACGTATACTTTACAATTCTGTCGTGCTAAAGAAGAACGCCGTATGAGCCTTCAGACGTTGCCAAATTTCCTTTGATACAAATCGAATTTACTGAGAAAATTATGCATTATTTTCCAAAATTTTCAGACAATTTTGAAGGCATATTACATTTAATCAGGCAGATTACATTTAATCTAAAATATTTAAAAATTGTAGGGAAAAATATGCATGAATTTCGTCAAAAATACATGTTTTAGCAAGGGAAATTTGGCAACTCTCGAATGTTCATATGACGTTCTTCCTTAACCCGGCGGAATTTGACGTATTTATGCTTAAAGGAGCTATGTAGCACGCAAACCCTATGCACATAGTTCCTTTCAGCATAAATACATCCAACTCAAAGGCGGAGTCGGCTAGAGCTTTATGTGAATTGGTGAGGCGATAAGTGTATGAGTCAAAGTGTATCAGTAATCAGTTTATTATCGTCAGTGTCTACAACTGAAAGTGATTACTGTCACTTCGTAATCAAAACGCGCTGAAAGAAAGTGCGGAAAAAGAAGAAGAAACGAAAATATTATTATCTTCTTTATGCCAGATGTGCGGCATCGGGAAATCCTATAGGATAGATTAATGTAACCTAATCACCGTGCTCAAACGGTGCAAGTTGAAAAATGCGCACTTCAGGCAGCGACGTTGTATCATAAAATTGCTTCGGAAAATTTGTATCAATTTTCTTGGAGAAAAATGGGAATGATGAATAATCGGAGATGCTTAAACGTTGCAATTGAGATACGCACTAGGCCCTAATTTGATGGCCAGGCGAGTCTAGGATAACTAAGTCATCCCCTTTTCAGAGTTACAGGACTTCAAAGTTTGGGCCGAAAAACTGCGTTTCCTTGATTGTGACGACAGCCTGTTGTAAATGAGAATGCTCGAAGATTGGCACTTCAGTGTGATTTTTTACGCACTGAACACATTGCTGACCTAAAAAAACTGATATTATAATATGAAGGGTGTGCTGGGGGAGGGGCTATAACTCTGAAGGCGGGGATTTTTTGGGGAAAACTTTATATAACAGTAAAGTTCAATATGCCCAAAAATCTATTCTGAAAAAGTTCGCGCTTCATTTTTGGACACCCCTAATCATATGGGTCCTACAATCAGTCAGATATATTAGTCAAGGGTTAATGCATGATTTCCGTGCTATTCTCGTTTGCAAAAGCTCGTTTTTCATTGGTTTTTGTCTCTGTTCTGTGACAGCCCGTGCGAAATGGATTTGGATACAGCCCTGGACGAGGCCAAGACTGCGATCAACCTATTCTTCAATAACAAATTCAACGAAGCCAAAGAAATGATGAAACCCTGGTAGGTCGTCGTGCTCAGCCGTTTTACTTCTCGACTAGTTTCATCAAGTGGGGCGCTGGAATTAGATACCCCTTAAAGTGTGGTCGTATCGTTTAGCCCCTCCGCATCCTTTCGTGAGAGCTCTCCAAAAAGTCCCTGCTCTAACTCCCAGCATTCATAGAGATGTAAAATGACATCCCACGGAATATGTTTTCAAGAAATTTCACTCCTCTGAAAAGTGAAGTTTCATTTTCCATCAAATGTGGGGAATAATCCACGAGGATAGGGCTGCAACTGCAACCCCCCATAGGAAAAAAGAAAGAAGGAAGAAAGAAAATTCATGAAGAGACTTCGAGACTTGATTCCTATTTTTTTAAAAAATTGAGAAAATATTTTGTTGTTTCTATTCGTCTCACAGAATTCTGAGTGCCGTGCAGAATTTTTAAAAAAATTAATGAATTTCCATTTTGCTGAAAAGTAAAAGCGGACATGGGGGTGGGGGGAGAGTCTCAACCAGTTTGTGACATAATGAGTGTGACAGCGTGACACGCTCCACTTGATTTTGTATTATAGAGTACGATACTTCATTTTGGAATTTGTTCAGTTTCTTTATTTTTAATGTATCTCTCCCTAAGAAACCTTATTCATTACAATTTTTTCCATAAAAATAAAAAATGACTGAATACGTCAATTTCAGCTCTTGATGAATCCCTAAATTATGGGTTTAATCATATTTTAAGTCAAGCTTTCCCTGACTGGAGTCGGTCCGTCCCCTGCTCATGATTTAATATGAAAAGAGTCAAAAATTAAGAATTTACACGAATCTCATGGCTCACAATAAGTTTAAACTGATGTTGTGGGACTAAAAATTGAGTTTTTGTAATCAACCCCCCCCCCACAACATTATTGAGCTTTATTGCGAATCGCTAGTGTCTCTATTCTGTTCTAAATGAAAGGGATGTACCCCTTTTTTTCTCTTTCAGGGTTGGAACCAGTATGTATCACACAATAGGGAATTCTGTATTCGATTTCTTAGAGGCTGTCCTAACTTTTAACCAGGTATTAAATTGTTCGAAATCTTACCAAGTCTGTCCTTTCGCTTATTTTGCTTCATATCACTCAGCTTTTTGCCTTATTTTTACTTTTTTGCTGTTTTCTGATGCTCTCAGTTTCCAATCTGTTTTTCCGTGATTTTTTACATCAGCTTGTACATTTGTAAGTAAATACTCCTCGAAACTAACAGCTGGCTTTTTAAATTTTGCCGTTTAAATTTTTTTTTTCTTCTAAGTTGTAAGCTTCATGTCCCAGTTTGGAAACAATTACTTTCGTTCGTTTTTCATTCATATCATTCATATTCTAAAAACTTCGTTTATGCTTGACAAGCTTCGACGCTTAAAAAAGTTGAAGTTGAAGTCAATTTCGAAAAACGCTCGAAACCATGCTTTTTTTATCTGCTATATGCTAAGGAAAAGCGCCGTATGAACATTCAAACGTTGTAAAATTTCCACTGATGAACCATTTATTTGGGAAAAAAGTCAAACATATTTTTCCTTGAAATTTTCAAATATTTTAGATTGAAGTGCAAACAAAATCATCGGAAAAATTGGAAGAAAAACACTCACAACTTTCGAAATTTGTCGTATTGTATCAAGAAATGTGGCAACGCTTGAAGGTACCTACGGCGTTTTTCCTCAGCACGACAGTCATATATTACAACCTCTTTGCATGTTTGCCTTAGTCCAGGATAACCGGGAAATCCGGAAAGTATCAGGGAAAATGACTAAACCAGTAGGGAATACTTGATGAATCTCCTCCATTTGCGCTGCAGAAAGTGTTCGACATTTTGAACAACCAAAGTTGCATGTTCGAGTCAGGAAGCTGATATTTTTGAGCAACATGCATATCGTCCAGTGTTAGGGAATTTTGCCAAAATTCTTCAGGGAAATCCGAAAAATATCAGGGAATTCAATTTTCTAACATCCGTGGAAAACATGTCTTCATAGCTTGTAGCTCTAGTCATCAATGCACGATTTGACAAAACACAACTCGTTGTTTCCCATACGTGGGAAATCCATTCGTGACTCCATTCCAAGATTGCAAAATTTACCTAAAAATTCAATTTTTTTACTCAGAAGTATACCTATTCAGCAACTTAACCCCAAAATTTTTAAAATACCGGAATGAGATCAGAGGAAAAGTTAGAGAAATTTTCAGTTAGAAATGCCTAAAATTATCCTGGTAATGCGAGGAAAAAGGCAGTATAAAAATGTGGTCACGATCTTTCATGAGGAGAACGGGGGACTGACGTATCCCGAAGAAAACTCGCGAAACCAACCGGTCGCATGCTCGTCCGTCATAAAAGTTCCTCACATCCATTAACATCTTCGCCCTACAATGCGTCATACCTTACAATTAAACTTATGTAACTCGCCATTGAACTTGCACTCCAAATTACACTCTCCGCGATTCTTTTATTTACTAAACTTAGTCCTTCACCTTCCGTACGCATCCTTTTACGTTTCAAGGTCTCTGCACTTTTCCCAGCCCTCTTGCTGTATGTTAGCTTAAGGTGATTCAATGGACGCCATATTTTGTGTCAGAACGGCATGCGATACATCGCATCAGTTGGTTCCATTTTTTCAGCTACTCGTTATTTTTCTCCAATTTTGAGATCGCAATTCTGTTGTCAGGAGACTAAAGCACTCACCAATTTTAACAAAGAAATTCAACGTAATAAAGGCGTGGATTTTTTAGAGAGAAAACATCGCATTCGATACCG